TAGCTCACATCAGCTTCAGGGCCGCCTGACACATTTGTGCGAAACCCGCAGACAAGTCTGACTGAAATTAGGGCTAACTTTCTGCACAAATGCTATCTGGGATCTGTTTAGCTCGTCAGTGCGGAAGCATGTCACTTCAGTTCTGCTCATAACACCACAACCCCCTTTGCTTCAAAGAAGTGCAGAAAAGGCCGCCTTGCAACAGCCCTTAATTTTGAGAAAGACTTCAGCTCCTGCCAGTTCGGTGACAAGTCGCAAGCAACGCCGGTCGATTGACTTTCCTTGCTGCTGCTGCTTGTGCGCAAATTGCGGCGACTTACCAAGAGCTGCTGGTAGAAAAAAATCCTTGATTGACTGTAGCAACGGATAACTTCTACCGTGCATCCGTCGTGTCTATGATGACGAGAAGTCCCACCCATAGGCCCATAGCTAAAAATCAAGCACGTAAAAAGGCCCATAGCTGAGAATCAAACATGTAAGGCTTGGGCCAGCGTCTGATTCTCCAACAGGCCGCCATTTTGAAACGTCCATGGCTCGCTTTCCCTCACAATGCGGGAGACCTTAGCAGGAAGCAACCCGCCTCACAGCTGCGTTGGTCGGCAGGCCATCTGACCATCTCACTCCGTTTAAAATGCTAAGAAGCGAGAAAGTCCAGGGACACTATTCGTGCCAAATGTCCTGGGGTTGCTTTGAAGTGACTTCAGGGACTAGTGCCTATGCCAGTAACAGCCTTGAGGCGAAAGGATCTGTGGAACCTACCTGCTTCCTGGCTGAGGACGCGGCCACCTCATGCTTGCCCATCCCTTGCTCCTCAGCGACATGCTGCATCTTGGACCTCAGCTGAGATTTGGTCATCAGCCACCTAGCACAGCATGAGAGGCTTCTGCATCACCGGTGCCTAAGCTAAAAGCAGGAGCTGCTTCTCACTCAGCGAACTCCAGGTGTGCGTGATGCAAGCTGCGGCAACTGTGCTCTCCTTAGCTGTGCAAACGCTCTTTACTGGCACCTGCTTGCCTGGTAGGCAAACGAATACTGCGGTGGGCAGCTGCTTCGCCGGAGCTGCATGTTCAAGTTGGGGATTGGCTTTTGTGCAAATTGCTTTAAGGGTATTACCTGTACCTGTATCTCCTGTGCCAGTTTTTGCCGTGTAAGCGTGAAGCATTCATTTGCTTCCTCAAATCCCTGCAAAATCTCAGGGGCAAGAGTCAGCAGGAATGGCGAGGATGAATATCTGGTCCAGCTCTGGCACGTGGCTGGCCTGATGGGTTCCTTATCCTGGGAGGTATTTATAGGCCCCCAATTAGATATACATAGGACCCCTTATACCACAGTAGGGACTTCATTCTGAGTTCTCCCAAAGTGCCACGCAGCATAGCATAGTAGCACAGGAGCAAGACATCTTGCAGTCGTACGGCTTGGCCAGCATTCGCCAATACCCTAAACCCTGAACCCCTTACTTGGACAACAGATGTGAGCCTTTCCCCAGCCTGCATCAAAGGTCCTGAAACTCAACAACATTTTGCAACTTCCAGAGGGGTGGGCGGCCAACGACACGGCAAGACAATCTAGCAGCGGGCATCCAGCACCTGAATCCCAAGTCCAGAACTCAGCAGTTAACACTAGTCAGCACCGCCAGGCAGCGCTGCTGAAATAATGCCTTCAAGAGAACTCAAATGACAGCCCCTGCTGACAAGAGGCATACTTCTCCTCCAGGCCCTCGACGGAAAGGAAAAGGCCGTTTGCCATCTTGGTCACGTTGCCTACGCGGCCTGCGCATGGCCAACGTGCTCCCAGGCTTCCAGTACAGTATCTGCTGACGCCAATGTCACCAATGTCACCATGGCGATCCCCGGCCAGTTCCTATGTGAACACTCGATCTGCAGCTGAAGCCCATCACGCTCTGACGTGACTTTCGGGCTCAAAGTCGGCAAAGCCATACCTCATGTGATGTGCAGGCCTAGCAGCTCAAGGAAGTCATCCTTGTAGGAGCCAACATCGCCTGGGTGCGGAGCATCGGCGTCTTTTCATGTTCCGTCGAAACACTAGGGTTCAGCTTGGCTTGTGAGGCAAATTCACTTAATGACAGGGTGTTCAAGCTGAAGTCACTTCAGCTCACCCTTGTAAGGATCTGGTCCTGAGCAAGTTAGTCCAGTTGCCGGTGCAGTAGAACCCTTCATCGTCGAGGACCAGAGTCGCCCCGACATATCCCTGAGCTTGCACCCCTTAGCTGCCAATACTGGCTGACAAGGCAGGAGAAACTCTGCATGTAGACAGGCATCAAACCGGGCATCAACTACACATTTGCACATCTTGCCCTGTAAGACCGCCTGAAGGCCAACTTGCGTGCATGGGTCGCGCATTCTTGCAGCGAACACGGATCTCCCCAATGCTGCCTCCTGGGCACCAGCATCTGCGGACTCATGCTACAAAACGCTCGCCCTGCTCAGAGACTGCTCAGGCTCTTAGGCTCTCAAGTCCGAGGCAGCCTTGTATATACGGACCTTCAACTGCATCCCGTTCTCCAAGCTCACAGCTGCCGCAACCGCAGTTCAATTTATGATGTACCATCTTCTAGCATCAAAACATCCGTGCGGTCGTCTGAACCCTCTTCATGCAGCCACCAGGCTCGGATCATGTCCGAGTGCAGGTAGGGGGACGATTTTGACCTTCTCCGAGCTACCCGTAGTGCTTCTTAAGGGAGTAGTGGGGGAGTGGATCCCTACAATAATCCCTATATAATTCCCAATAATCCCTATATAATCCCTAATGGTGCCTATATAATCCCCAATAATCCCTATATAACTCCCAATCATCCCTGTAAAATCCCCATGTGTACCGCCATAATGGTACCTTAAGAACTCCCAGCATCTCCCAGCCCTGGACCTGACCAGTCCATGCACTTCCTCGTAGCTACCGGTGCTAAAGGGGGATAGGGGTAGTGAATAGAGGTACCATATGGTACCGTTATATGGGTATATAGGGGGATTACATATGGACTATTGTAAGACTCCCTCACTCTCCCTCAAGCACCAGAAATCGTAGCTTGGAGCCTCTACATTCGGGTTCACGTGGCCATTGTGGGCGATCGGGCCAACCTCCGTAGCTCCGTAGCCTCATCCAGGCTTGCTCTTGTGAATGTGTCGTGGTGCTTGCCTTTCAAAGCCGCAGCGGCAGTATCCGCAACCTCGTAACAATTGCGCATCTGTGTCAGGACAGGTTTGCAAAGGACCTGGGGCCTGGCGTGCGAATCCAAGGTCAGGAAATCGAGCTCAAGACCCACAAGAACAGGGAAGCATCCAGAGAGAGAGAGGGAGAGATCCGTATCTATGCAGCTTGGCAGCTGTTGGTGACGCCTTAGCTGGACAAAGCCAGAGCAAAGCTTGAAGATCTAGCTACATTCAATCTGGAAATGCCGGCCCTCACAAGGTCCAGGACTTCAACCTACGCTGCACGAAAAGACTGTTAGCTATGCACCTGCCAAGTGCCACCAAGAAGTCACCTTAAAACATGTGCGGATGCGAAACTGCAGCGGTCCGACTCAAAGCAGAGCCGCAGAAAGTCGAAGAGCCTCTTGATGGGCAGGGGCAAAAAGCTGAGACTAACGGCCAGGAACGTGCATTTACAATGTTGCGGGTTCGGGTCAACTTCTGGGCCCAATGTTTGCACACCTCTAGCAAAGTGCTTTGAAATGAAAACACCGTGGAAGCGAAGCCGGCGTTGTCAAACGGTTCAGGTTAAGGCTGGACGCCTCTCCTAGCGCTAGCGGCGCAACGGACCCTGATGAACGGGTATGTCTTCCTGCTTGGCTGCACATTCCCCCTGCAGTCCTCTTTGTCACCGGCGCGCTCCCCGTGGAAAGACTGTGCAAGCGGCTGCCAAAGCTTTTGCGCAGCTCCTGCCGATGCTTTTAAAGGAATCATGCCTACAGCAGGCAAGACGACTAGGCCACTAGGATCCAGTACGAGGGCTACATCGACAGACACACGAACGTTGATGATGAGGCCAGCATATAAATGCCGAGAAGCAACAGACAGGAACCAAGAAAAGAACGCAGGACCCACGACAAGCACACCCACAAAAATGCGTTCCACGATGAGTGACGAGTCATGGCTGTTCGCCGGTGGTGACTCTTTCTGCCCCATTGATTGACGTACAGTCAGAGCAGCGCCTGGTGGCAGTGCTGAAATTAAATGCTTGCGCATAGGGATGTCCATACTTGAAATTCAAACGAGGTGACTAGTGTCTCATTTTTCAAGCGCTTGGGGCTCGTAAACTCCAAATGCAGAGACTCCCTTGCAGGTGGGTGGCCCGGTGGGTGGCCCTGTGCTGAAGCCGCCATAAAGCTGACTTCGAAGTGCATTGGTGGGGGCGCATGTTTTATGACAAGAACTCGCAATGATTGCACACTTGGCTCATTCGCTAAGGCTGGGCGACGGGTCTTCGGAGGGTCCGTTGCTTCACCTACTGCTTCGCGGTGTGCTTTGATCCAACCTCTTATCTCAACAGGAATGAACCGGAGCTATAATGGCACTTCGCATCCCGCTCCTATCTTGGAGCATTACGACCATTGCTACGTACCACTATATATGGATGATCTTCCGGGAATACATTCTATAGGGATTTATAAGGATTCTATTCCCTTATTCCCTGTCCCTACTAAGAACCAGCAAGCTATAACCCAAAGATAATATCATCCCTATAGTATCCCTACCCTAAACCCTGAACCCTAGTCCTCCAGCGTTGCCTCTCGGCTCTCATAAGCGCTGAGGAGCGGCTCGAAGAACCTTGGCACTCCTGGAGCCATTCAGTCTTGGTAGGGCTCTGTCCTTGTAGCTTACATGATATCTTATCTCAGGCTCGAGACAATCTCCTTTCATCCGCCCAGAATTACAAGGCTTCTCCTGCTCACTGCCTCTGGCATGTGACCAGGCACACATAAGCTCAAAGCACCACAGTCGAAAGAGTAGAAAGCCAGCAAAAGGCCTCTTCTTTGAAGATCTCTACTCAGCACGCCCTTGTTGGGAATACTCCATGGCCCAAGCTCGAAATTCGGTAGCATCGGTGAAAAGGGAGCTGGTCTCCTCAATGGTAACTCTTTCGCACCCAGAACACGTTAGCTGCAAGTGTTGTAGCGCTTCCGGCAACCCTGCCGCCAAGCCAGCAAGGCCAGCATCGCCAATCCGCTCACAACATGTGCAGTCCAAATCTAAAATTCGCAGTTGCCTCGGTAACCCTTCTCCTAATGCAGCCAGCCCGGCGTCACACAAGTTTGAACAGAATCTGAGAACCAGTCTCAATCCCTGCATTTCCAGATCTGACAATCCTTCCGCCAGCGCAGCGAGCCCATGAACACCAATCTTTGTGTTGTTGAATAGCCGTAGATCCAGAGCCTCCAGTTTGGCAGGAAGATTGGCACCTAAAGCAATGAGCCCAGCATCGCCGATTTGCGGACAGTCTGAGAAATCCAAACTCAGCTCCCTCAGCTGCGGTGGAAGTCCCTCTGCAAGGGCTTGTACTCCAGTGTCGCCCAGCGTGGGCAGCGGGAAGCAGCTCAGCCGCAGATGCTGAAGCTCTTTCGGCAATCTACGGGCCAATGTTGACAGCCCAGTGTCACCAATGCCACACTTCTGCATGCCAAGGTCCAGATGCAGCAATGATGGGGGCAGTGCTGCTGCCAAAGCAGCCAGCCCATCATCACTGATCTTCTCTGAAAAGCTCCAGGACAGCAACAGTTCTTGCAGCATTTCCAAACTTGACAGCCCGGCTGCAAGACCCGCCAGCCCAGCATTTGTGAGGCTCTTGCATGAGTAGAGATGGAGCTCTAGATACCTTAATCGGCACGGAAGACCCGCAACAAGCCTCCTCACCCCAGCATCGCCAACACGTTTGCATTGCCTGAAGTGGAGCCGGACATACTGGAGCTCACCTGGGAACCTTGCGCCCAAGGCAGCCAGGCCATCGTCACCAATGCACTCACACGCCTGAAACTTCAGCTCTAAGCCCAGTAGTGTACTGGGCAAAGCGGAACTCAGCACGTCAAGGTGCGAGTCCTCGATCGCTTCGGACTTCCAGCCAAGCTTCAATTCTCGAAGAACCCGATGACAGCAACGAAGTGCAAGACAAAGACAAGGCACAGCTGGCAGCGGCACAATTGGCTCCACCAGCTGCAAGCTCCTGTCCAAAGGCTCAGAGGCGGCAAGAATTATGTTGGAGTAATATTGGGATACTGGAAAATAAAACGGAAACTACTATACTATATTGGGGTTATAAGCTCCTGTCCAAAGGCTCGGAGGCAGGTAGAGCAGTCTCGTGGCCGGCTTTGACATTTTCCAGCCTTGGCTCGGTGGCAGCCGCTGCGATGGCTGGCTCAGCTGCAACCGGCCACTCCTCACTGCCAATGGCGCTGTCAGCAGGGGGAACAGCGGCGTTGAGCTCGTGCCACTTAGTGGCCCAACCACGGAATAGAGAGGGATCGCTGAACATCTCGTCGTTCTGCCTCATAGACATGTCTCTGCAGAATTCCATGTTCATGCTCAGACGTTGCAGCCCAGAGGGGAGCCCAGCACCAAGTGCGGCAATCCCGGCATCGCTGAATTTCGTACAGGCAAAGTCGAGCTTCAACTCTGTTATCTGTGTCGGAAGTGCTGCGCCAAGAGCAGCCAACCCATCATCTGTAAGCTGTAGGCAGAATCCAAAGTCCAGCTGCAATTTGTCTAAAAACTTTGCCTTGTTAAGGCCGGCAGCCAAAGCGGCCATTCCAACACCACTCAGGCGACTGGCACCGTTAAAGGACACATGCAGCTCTCTCACGCTGTGTGGCAAGCCGGCTGCCAAAGCGCTGAGCGTGCAGTCCGAAAGGCCGCACGAAAGGTTGGCAAAGTTCAGTTGCAAGAACAGCAAAGAGGTCGGCAAGGCCACTGACAAGGCGACCGAACCAGCATCACCCAAGCTCAAGCAGTTCCGTACTGAGAGCTGGAAGTGCTCTAAGTGTTGTGGGAGGCCAGCTGCAAGGGCTGCCAAACCTCGATCGCCTATCTTGCAATACCTGAATTCCAGATCCAGCCACTGGAGTTTGCTTGGAAGACCAGCTGCCAGACTGGCCACGCCAGCATCCCCAATTCCAGTGCTAGTGAGGTCCAGCTTCAACTGTCGTAGCGAGTGCGGAAGTCCCGCTCCCAAAGCGGCTAGCCCGCAATCACCAATGTTGTTGCAGTAAAGGAAGCTCAGCTGTAAGTCTTGGAGCTTGGGGGGCCACCTTGACCCAATGACAGCCATTTCTTCATCTGTGAGGTTCGTGCAACTCCGAAAATCAACCTTAAGATGGTGCATGGAAGCAGGAAATCCAAGAGCCAAGGCAGCAACGCCGTTTGCAGTCAAATTCTCACAGCCACTCAAGTCCAGCTGCAAGCGTCGCAGAGCACAGGGAATACACAACCCCAAGTCTGCCAGGTGTACATCATTGGGAGACATATGCGTCAAGTCCAGCTTCAGCTCCGAACAACTGGCATCTGCATGAAGGGCTTTGTGGAAACATAACTCTTTGACCTGTCCCTTGAGTAGTGCCTGCTCCAAGCCAGCTCTTGCAAAGATGCCCCCCAAAGAAGTGTTGACGACATCATAGTTGACATGCTGACAGTCCGGCTCTGCATCCAAGCTATCCTTCTGCACGATGCTGTTCAAAATCCGCCTGCGGTCCTCCTCTTTAGAAGCCTGGGCCTCGTGCAACTTGGGCTGCAATCCCCTGCTTAAGACCTCGAGCGTGAACGCTCGCTGCCTGTAGAGCTGCAGTCGCTTTGCCAGGTTCGCGCCCATGCCCCCTTGTGGCGGGGGCCCTCGTGTAGGTCCTGATTGCCGCTGGAGAGCACTCTCGAGCTGCTGCTCGGCCGCGGTGAGACCATCTGTGAGCAGAGCCGCGGTTTCAAGGCCAGGGTCCTTTGTTGCAATGTCGAGGAGTAGATGTTGATGTCCATCCTTCCTGCCACTCAGGGCAGTGTAAGCTTCAAAAGCACACCACAGGCGAGTGAAAGGCGTGGCATTGGTGTCCAAGATGATCAGCATGCCCTCCACCAGCTGCAGCGCTTTGAAGAAACTGGACGACTTCGGATCTGAGGAAAGCTCTGCCTCCAGCGAGTGCTGCCTGTTGGCATAGGCGCAAACCCAGTATGCCCAAACGGACTCTTCCGAGTCAGCCCGTGCGGACCCTAGGTTGAAGCAGCGCACTTCCTTGTGCTGAGAGACACATCGGATGAAATCTCGCACAGGTTCGCCCCACCAATGGCTGCAGAACCACTGTGGCCGCTGATTACCCTTGGCTACCAGCTCCACCCAAGCACAATCTTCTGCGTTTGTGGCTGGCATGATGAGCCAGCTGTTTACATGGTAAAGGTTGGCCAGGGCCGGATCAACAGGTTGCTTCGATCGCACGTCAAACCATTCCCACTCGTCAGCATGCTGTGTGACGAAGCTTTCCACAACGCAGAGCTGCTCAAGCGTGATTCCCCTCAGCTCTGTGCTTGCAATTTCGCAACTCCTTGAGAACTTAGCCAAGAGGTGCGTGTAGTCTTCGAACCGGTCAGCAGTCATATTCAGTTCTGCCCTTATCTTCCGAGCTCTCGCCGTTGCTGGCTCTGATCCAGGGCGAGTGCCGAGGTCTTCTGCCAAGATCTCACCGTGATTATCTAGCTTCCCTGCAGGGCTGTCAAAAATCCAAGACACGAGCCCCTTGCATGTGAGACCGCACGCGCCCGCGGCTTCGAATGGCTGCAGTGCGCAATCGATGCTCGACTCTGCAACCTTCAACTTTCGCAGCAGGTCTCGGACATCCTGAGCTGGAACTGGACCCTCACCAAAGTGCTTCTCCAACCGTTCCAATATAGCATGCTCCATTTGAAATTATGACCTGGGCCAAAATGGCTCTTCGAAGACAGCACCTTTCAGGTTGCAGATGCTTGCATATGTCGAAAACTTGTCTCTGCTCGTACCCCTGCCTGCAACCAGTTTCTGAGCGTGCTAAACAGAGTGCCCCTGAGCAACACAAGAGAATTGCTCGGCCCAGTTGCAGAAAAAAAACCATAGTCATCCCATTGCATGCGATGTTAGACTTGCTTCCCATCAGACATTACTTGTACTCATTCGGAGCTCCACGTAGTGAATCATCACTTGGAAAAGAGTAACCCGAGATACTACGGCATACGACATCTTTGGTGGACGAGGACTCCCAATTCAACCCCATAAGATCGCCTCTGCATACTCTGCGCACATCTACAAACGGTGGCCAGCTGTCCTTGAATGCCCGTGGGTTCAACAATCCTGGCATCCGCGTAGGCAGTCTGTGCGCTTGAAAACCTCGACCAGGCGCTCAAGATAACAAAGGCCAGGAGCACCATGCACAAATCGAGATCTCACATCGGTGCACAGGAAAAAAGTAAACACTTACTACTTAGGGCTCCCCACCGTGCAATAGTGACTGTACAGGGGTTATAGTAGGGTCCCATTCTACTCCCACTATACCAGTATTAGGGGGTCCTCCTGACTTACTACATACCCTAAGGGTCCAAGGACCCAAATAATAGGGTTTTAGGGCCCAAATACCATTAATGTTGTAATATTTGGGCTCTAAAACCCTATTATTTGGGTCCTTGGACCCTTAGGGATACTTTTCAGGTTTGTGCCAGCGTAACGAAGGCAAGCCGCGCAACACAGGAGCCTTGCAAGAAGGCGGCGGCCGTTCCCAGTTGCTCGTTCATGTGGGAGTAGGGTTGGTAGGCCAAATGACAAGGACCTGGATATGGGTAGCTCTCAAAATTTGGGTCCCCTTTTGGTAATAGATGATGTTGCGGCACCTGCTGGTCATATTTAGGGGTACCAAAATGGGACCAACATTTTGGGAACTACGCACATAGCATGGGGGTTTCTCAAAAAGGGTGTTTGCAGGGATGCCAGAGATACACAGGGAGTGAAAGGGTCGTGAGGTCACCCGTAGTGATTCGGTGGGACGCATTACAAAAAGCCCCAAAACCTCCCACATCATCATGATGACATCAGGTTGAAGTTCCTCAAGGGCCCAAGGTTTGCAAGTAGAAGCTAAGCCCTTACGCAGCCATTGATGCAGGCAGAACGCTGTCAGGAGTGGCTGCCTTCGCATAGAGCCAGAGGAAGGAGTAAAGCTCATCATGGTTGCCTGTCCCCATCGGCTATCACTTGGTTTACTGCGTTCAAGGACTGGCTGTATCCGGTGGCAACCACTTTTGGGGGCTCAAAAGCACGCTGGGGTCGATGTCCAGGAGATCAGCTGAAAATCAGTCACAGGAGCTCAGCAACGGGCTTATCAACTTCGTCATCCATCCTGTTCCAAGCTAAGTCACGCCGTATGGCTTTCGGCGTCCCGGTGGAACCGGACGTGAATATCCTGAGCATTTCTCGCCATCAAGCTTTGCAGGAGCGTATTCCGAAAGAGCTAAACTCATGGCCGAAACAGGGTGGGTTAATGATCGACCCAGAGGTCAAAAGAACGTGGCCCTGTGTTTTTTCTCCTACTTGGCTCTTTAACTCTTTGCCGGCGGTTATATGAATCCAGCACATGCAGCTCCTCAAACGCTGCAGACCCTGCAAACCGCGGCATGGTAAAGCTGGCACAAACGGTAACCTTGAGCTTCGAAAGTGCTTCAAACTGCACAAGTCATGGCAATAGATAAGCCCAACAGTAAAAAAGGAAAGAGACCTGTCGTGCTGGTAGCAAATGGTTGAAGTGAGGAAGTTAGAACTGGCATAATTGCTGATTACCGGATGCCTGTTTTTGGTCAGCAGGGGCACACTCAAGCTTTACCTTACCATGACTGTTGGACCCATTGGGACGGGCTCCGCACCCGAAAGCAAACTCTTAACGTTGCAGGGAATGGGCCAAGACTGGACTGTCAGCAAAACTGGAATATGAAATGGACACTGGATATGTGTGTATATATATATAATATGTATTTAGATATGAATAATTATGTGTATATATATATATATATGTATTTTGGTAAAGTATGTTTAAGAGCCCTGGCTTTCTCAGGCCAAAGCATCCATGGCCGAACCATGATAACGTCCGTGGTACAAGTGCATACGATTTCGAGTGCATCCATGACCGAATCATGACAACGTCCGTGTTACGACAGCTGATGNNCAGCTGCTTGTGCAAAAGCCCACGCGGGGCTCTTAAACATATTGTACAGAGAATTCAGGGGGTTATAAGGGGGCATTACCACGATAATGATTCCAGATTCCGTTCTGAAGCTCTAAGCCCTGACAGAATTGCAAACAAGAGCACATGTTGGCCAACCTTTGTCGCGAAGCAACTGGACCAGGCGGAAGGGACATGCCTTGCCTTGGAGTTGAGACAATCTCTCAGTTTCTTACTGGGGGGGGGGGTATATATATATATATCCTACAGGAATTATGTAGGCATTATACTTCCTTGTTCCCTACTTACCACCTGTAGGTTTTTTCTAGTGGCCCACTAATGAACGGCGACCCATGAAGGACCAAATGGTTGGACAACGCTGAACGATGCCTACTCGAACCAGGATTTGTGGGTTCCTTGAAAACTGCACTTCATTGCACCTTGTCACATTGTTTACCTCTGTATACATAGAGTATTTGAAAAAATGATGAGGCATTCCGAGATGCCGGACCAGGTCTCCCACAGCTGCTGCCGACAGGTGTGGAACCTCTGCCATATGCAATTAATTCTTAGTCTCAGTGTTACTTCCAGTGCTGCTACTTCTTCTGCTACTACTACTACNNCTACTACTACTACTACTACTCATTTTATCCGCTTTGTGTCTGTTAAGTTGTCATGTTGTCATAAGACACGTAATGCACACACCTACATACATACAAAAATACATACCTACATGCATACATACATACGTACATACACACATGCATACGTATGTGCGTGCATGCAAGCATGATACATACATAAGAATGCTGTAGCAGTGTCTGGAAACCGTAAACACTTGTAGAGCTAGGGGCAATGGTGCTGGTGTGCGGCGGCGGTGGTGCTGGTGCCGGTAGCGGCTATCCTTGTGGTGATGGTGGCGATCGCAGGGGTAGCGCCTGTGACAGAGTAACAGCACAGGCAAGGATGAACATGCTTGGAACCACAAGCTGCCTGCTCCAACTCCGACTGCTCCCCAATGGTGAGGGATGGTAAGGCCAAGCGCAAGGCTGCAATTTGTGAACCTTGTAGTCTCAATAGCTGCTGACAAAGCTTCTACACATGGTTTTATGGCATAGTTCCAGTGAGAAAGATTCAAGCTGGTTGCTTACAAGTTTGGGCCTGTGGGTTCAGGGCTGCAGGCAATGTGAGGCAGGCTGGGCATTTAGAAGCTTAGTGAGAGCTTTGCAATCTGAACCATGACTCATTGGACTTGTGACAACAAGCCTGCAAGCGCCTGAGCTACTCTGGAAGTGCATCTGCCAGTATCTAGTCCAGCATGCCAGGGCGCGCCCCAGCGCAAGGAAACACCACCTCGGCTAAAGACCATGCTCGGCAGGCTGTTCATCCTGGGAGGGGTCCTGGCGCTAAGAGAAAGGTCCTAGCAGCCCTATAACATGCGCGGGCGAGCGTCTGATTTGCCATGCACGCCAAAAAGCAAAGGAACGCTTCGAGGCAAGTGCTGCCGATCCATGCAATCCTTGGATGACTACCCATTCTACATGTCGCTTACTTTGCAAGACCGCTCGCCAAGGCCAGATATGCCAGGTGTCAAGACATCCTCATCTCGCGCAACCTGCAATTTGGAAGGGGGCGCTGCAGGTCTGAATTGAAATTGCTCCAGAAATCCAGATGCCTTCAGCACTCTCAACCCTGCTTACCAGTTTCAACTGCAATCCAACATCGCCTTCCCCTCCATCGCCGCGGGCTTTCGTGTTTGCACACAGCGGGGCAGCTAGCCCATTCTTTCTAGCCATTCACTGCAACATCCCCCCCTGGACAGCTTCATAACACAGAGTCGCCATGAGACTGTAAGATTGAACACCCCAAACAACTAGCAATGGTAGTAATACAAATATTGGGCGGAATAATAGTTATAATGTATCCTGACTGCCTGGCTCAATCACTACCCAACCTTGGCATCCAAGTCATAGTGAGAGCGAAGAGCTGAGGAGAAGCTGCCGACATCTTTCCTGAGTCTTCATTTGGAGATTTCCTAAATCAGGGGGGCCTCATTGGGCTATTGGGGTCTGTATCGGGGTCCCTCTATTTATTGGAACTACCATTTGAAGGTGTCTAAGCAAGGCGCTAATATGAGGGAGCCTAGCCAATCCCCAAGGAGTTTGTAGAGGTACTTCTAAGGGCTTATGCAGACGTTGTGTCGAGAAAGTCGGCAGTGACTTTCTGAAATGGCAGCACGGCTTTACAAGGCTTTAGTGCTTGTGTGGGTTTGTCTGGTCTGCTTGGAACATGCAGTTACTGAGGTTCTCAAGTTTCCGCACTCAACGTGCGCAAAAGAAACAGTTCTGTTCAACATGGTCCAGGTTCCATAGCGAGGCATATGAGAACTTCCTGAGGCGGCAAGATTTGGGTGTGGAGTGCGCAGAGCAGCTCCCACAAAGGCGTATAGTGGAGAGATGTTCAGTGTGTTTGGGGGTTGAAGAACGGTTTGGGTCAGCAACATGTGAGCACCATCTGTGGCAGTTGCGGTGTTGGCCCATGTGCTGCAAACACGCGGGAACGGAGATCGAGAGAAGGGAAAAGAGGGACAGCCAGAGGGGCAAGAAAGCTCAGCCACCCTGCAAGCAGCCCTTCTGTGAAACATGCAGCCAGTTCATCCCTGCGACTCCTGAACCCACTTCCCTCGCAGGCCCTGCCCATAGTGTCATCCTCAGCACTGCTTCTC